TTTATTATGTAGTGCATTTGTGTTGCACAAAATCAGAAGCAATCACCAAAAAGGCTAAATATAATTAATCTAGAACCAGTGACAAATGAAAAATCTTCCGTTTTTCGTCTCTTTCCAGAACTAGTTCATTATACCAATTACTAAGTAGCCACTAGCAGAACAATCAATTCTTACCTATTATGCATTACTTGCAAAGAATTTACTTTAAAGTGTTCCAGTGAGTGACCCCAACCTGTTAAAACAAGAGGCCGCGGGGTGATAATAGCAGTGACCTCAGGGTCTTAAGATTTTTTCACTAGCATCTAGCTGGCAAAGCTCCAAGGAACGTCCTACAAAAGCGCTGGAATCCTGAGCATGTTTGCAATAACCAAATAATTTTCAGTTTTTATAAAAGTTTTTATTGGTATTTTGCGTTTTTAGCTGCATCAGTCAGCTAAGATATAAAAATCTAATGCTTTTGGTTTCATGCTCCCCGAAAATGTGTCCCAACATATATTTGAAGTTCAGAAAACTACGAAATTTTGCCTATCGAAGTATGAAAGCACGGCATTGACCAAAATGTGAAATCAACTTTCATGTCCTTCTAAGACTGACGAAGGAATGTAAATGTTTTGACTTTACTCCGTGAGTTGGTATCATGCCACCATGGCTGCAGCTCGGGGCTCGATGCCTTAGTCTTCTTTTTGACAGCTGGATTGCGCAACATTACTTATTTATTTCCTTCTAGTATTACATAATTTGGATTTTATTATTACTTATTGCTTATTCCTTTAAACTCTTCTTCACCTGTTCTCCTTTGCGTTTAAACTCGTTACTTTTCTTTACCTGTTTAAATTCTAAAAATCACTCTAAATGAGTTAAACAACTATCGTGGTGAGACAAAAAGAAACTGGGGAAAGGCATAAATCGACGAGGAAGTGCGTATACTGTAGGCGTTTTTGGGGGCAGTTGTTCTCAAAAAATATCTTAGAAAAACATGGAAAGCACACCGTTCTTGCCGTCAATTCCTGGTGCTCCTGGTGGACCCGCTGGTCCAACTTGGCAGCTGCAACACATCCCTTCGCTGACACCACCAGCGCCATAGTTCGCTGCACCCGTTCGGCCTTCCGGTTGAGTATGTGCTGGGGCACCGCGCACCTCTGCTGTTTGATGATAATTGCCAGGGAAACCACCGAACGAGGCAGCACCAACCCCCGAACGTGGTGCACCAGACTTGGGTCGACCTCCGTATTTGGTGCTTGCACCGGCAAAACCAGCGGAAGGTCCTTCGTCATACATTTGAGCTGCTCGAGCTTGTGTGTGTGGCATGCGACCCGACGAAAAGCCTGTTCTTCGATAGTAGATGCTGCGTCTGGGTCGATCTCGTACACCACTCACTTCCTCTACCTACAAAATTCAGAGGTTTCATATGAAATAACTGAATAACAGTGATAATGTTTTGCAGATGCATCCAAAAATCACCAGATCAGTGTGGCACGGAAGTCTCGCGAAAAGCCGGCAATGCTTGAAAGGGCGTGCTGCACAGACTGCAATAGCCGGAAAATACAAAATATTTGTGGAGATGCCATACACACAGAATACAGGTGCTCCAGCAGGTGCATGGATCACAAGACCTAATGGTGCAGCAGCCTAGCACATCGGGTCAGGAAAGACGGGTAGTTCAATTTCTTCCCAGTCTATATCCATTTTCAAAACAGGGTGCTACAAAGCTGATAGGTATCACATCGTAGTCTAGGAGTGCCAACATTTAGAACAAGAATAATATCCACGAATTGAATCTCGAAGTGGCTAGTACCTCGAAAAGTACCTTTGTCGGAAAAACCGATGAGCTAACATCTCTTCAAGAAAGGAAAAGAAAACATTAGAACTGACAGTAAACTGACCAACAAGCTGTACAGCACTGATCAAAGCAACTGAAAAAGTTAAAAGCAGGATAGCTGGAGAGTCAGACGGTGAATTACATCCTGTTCTAAGTACCCGAGCTATGTAAGAAGAGTGGAAGCAAAGTCATCGGGAAAACAGTTTTTATGATGAAAATTTGTTAGAAAAGCATAGTGGTTCACAATGAGTTACTTCTAGTTCATAATGAGGTACTACAGAGACTAGGTAAAGAAGAGTGACTAGGATAATCCCATCTTTACCCGTTCTCACTCCAAAACATGCCAGTGGTTGCAAGTGCCAACAGAAACCATCCACTGGCAAGATTGTCGATGGCTCCCTCTTCCGAGCACTGCATATAAGCAAGCTAATGGTAAGATTGATAGGCTTGGATATGCTAGTAACAATTTACAATCGAAACGGATGAACGAATCGCAGAGGGATTAATTGCTTCCATTGGTAGAACTGAGCATCCAACATACTGTACGACAACACTGTTACTTCCCACTGTGCCATAATCACCATTAAAAAAAATATTATAAAAAAGCTAATAAAAATTTAACACCTACGTGAGCGAACTGTTCCCATAATCCATTAGTGCGATGTTTGCAGAAATCAATTTCGACTTGCAAGCTGGACTGTACATGCTGCATATAGTTATAGACCATTGGAATAACAATAATAGCTGTTAGCGTTGCGATCGTTGACACAGCAATCCCGAAAAATGCTACCCGTTTCAGGCTTTCCGCTTCCGCGAGCCTGAGCTTTGGATCATCGGACGCACTCATATTACCGAAAAAAAACTTTAATGAATAGTCGTAAACTCACGATGCGTTGTTCCTCGTCTCGCATCTTCCGCGAAATCATGATGCTTTAAAAGTTTCGGCTATCAGCATCTCCCCTGTTGTCTCTGCCTCTCAAGTTTTTTTCGTATAATCACAAAGAGTATCAGAAAAAAATTCTCCGGAAAAATATGACTTTAAGCCAAGAGGCACTGCTTTTCACAAAAATTTAAGTGAACAGATAATGAAATCTTAGCTGCTTAACGTTTGAGAGCGTCTCAGTAAAAACATTAATACGGGACTTACAAATCCACTGCCTGAGAATCTTCGGTACTTCTGGTACACAAAAAGCTGAGAGGGTTCGTCAAAAATCAAAGTTTTTTTAGGAACATTAAATTAAAGTCTAAAAAAAACCTTCAAAAATTTACGAAAATACGAAAACCGCCAGGGCTATCGGCATATCTCATTGGTAATATTACTGGGATGTTCTCAAACGCCGACCACAGCTATGCCAGGCTATTCGATTTTGGGCTGCTTGCCTTCAGTTAATAAGCAGTATCGCAAAAAAAAGGAGTTAGTAAGAGAGCTTAAAATTTAAACACAATGGCGCAAGGTAGAAAAAGCGTACCATTTCAATGAAAGGGGAATTATTTGAACAGAGACATCAAATTAGAATCTTGTCCTTTTTTAACAAATTATCTAGAGCATTAATTTTGTAGAACTACAGTCATTATAGTGCCACTACGGGAAAAAAATTTTTTTGGGCGTATTTTCATTTTCATACACACTGGTGCAGACTGGCAAACTAAATTTACACGCTCCAAAAATTTGAAGTGATCCAAAATTTG